ACAGTTGAATCAACCTCTTCCTGTTGTGAAGCTGTTGAGAGCACGAGCACGCTATCAGTGTCAATTGACGTTACGTCCATAGCACAGCATGGGAAATTCAGGACCGAACTGCAGAGCATTTTGCAACCTGTTCAAGAAAATGGGACGATAGACGGGTGGCCTCGTTCTTTTTGGTTATCATCGCTGCATCACCCATTAGCTTTAAAAATGAACATGCATGCTTACTTTTTAACAAATCCTGCCCCATGCTTCTTTAACCAGACAGTCTGATGACAAATGATCTAAAATCTGTGGTGTGAGTTAAAGAGAGCTGTCCATGCTTAGAAGCCATCAAACCTGAATGAACTAGAGAGGTTTTAAAAGGAGAATGGTTCAAAATACCTTCAACCAGAATCCAGACTCACATTCGAAGCTATAGGAAGCTGTTATTTCTGCAAAATGAGGATCTACTTAATATTTACTTAATTTCCTTCTTGTGGTGACCAGATGTATGCACCTGCCTTATTGTGTTTAAACACTTAATGCACACTTTCTCTAAATCCTATAAACTTTGTTCCACTTCTCCAGTATCACTGTGTGTGTGTCTCATAAATTTAACTGAAATTTCTTGCCGTAACAACCAACGATTTATAAAGAAAAATCACAATGATTGACATTAAAAAGTGGGTTTTGCATAATATGTCCCCTTAAAAAAACCAAAGCCATTAAACGAAGCAACCAAGAAGTTTTGTGTTCTTGTAGCCCTAAGAAGCCACAGCATCTTTTTGTTTTATATAATATCAGGTGAAGCAGGCTAGAAGCTACTGTTGAAATAACAATGCTAATGATAAATTAGAAGCAAATAGTGAAAAATTTTGTCTAATATCTAAAAAGGTAATTTTTTATTTACCAACAACACAATTTTGCTGTTTGAAGTGAATTTTGAGTCAATTGTGGCATTCTACTTCCTTTAATGAGTCTCAGAAATACAACAGCAAGCTTTCAGCAAGATGGCAAACAACCACACTTCCTCTAACACTAAAGAAATCTTATTGTAATAAGTGTAGAGGTGTAGGGCTGCAACAAACGATTATTTGGATAATCGATTAATCGGATGGGGTCTCGACACGATTAATCGATTAATCGGATTACATGGGGAAATTTTTAAAAACTGCTAGGGAAACGTTATTTCTCTCCTTCCTTCACTTTATTTAACACAACATTATTAGAAAACAGTTCAATAGCAGAAAAACAACATGCCATCACCTAAATTGTTTTATAAGGTGTATAGACAGAGACCCTAAGCTACATCTATCTGTGACCTAAAATGCTTGGTCCAAGTTAAACAGCTTAAGGGCAATTCTCATCTGTTTTGTTTGATCTCATCTGTTGACATTTATTTTAAATGTAATTAAACATATGCTGTGAATTAATCAAAATTGATCACTATTTCCAAAAATGACTGAAAAAATACCAAATAAAACAAAAGTAAATGAATGCCATCCTCCTTGCGATGATGCCCTGGGCAACTGCCATAAAGTCACATCAAGAAATGCTGCTGATCATTCCAATGATCCCAAATAGACTCATATTAGGCCACATGAAAGCAACTGAACCCAAAAACATATTAACCAGTATATAACTGCACTCTCACACAACACGCCTGCAGCAACAGTTAGGACTCCTCCCTCCCTTTTAAAAGCGTTTTTGCTTCTGAGGACATTGTGGTTGTAAAACCACATGCTAGTAGTCTGGCCCCGGTGTGATCAACCAGTTTCTGCAGGAATGTGACGGCAGAACCAGGGCCAGATTAACACTTTGTTGTACCCTGGGCAACAATATTCAAGGGCTCCATCATCACGACCCAAGGATCACCATAATGTGGTCACATACAGAATATATTACTGTAATATGCAGTAAATATACTCAATAATTGAATGCCTGACAACACGTAACCTGCCCAGAGTAACCTTTGACCCACCTTGTGTGGACTGACCAATGAGGAGAGGGTCTTAACTTGAGGCCCTCTCTTCATTGGTCAGTCTGCATGAGACTGACTCTCAACTGACATTCAAGTCGTAGGCAGCAAAGCGTCTCTGTGCAGCGCAAAAGCCCGGGTGGACAGTTTGTTTAATGTAGGGTGACCATATTTCCATTTCCAAACAAGAGGACAGGGGATCTGTGCCTATGACGTCACACTATGGCAACGCCACACAAACCATGTTGGGACCCATTTTTTGTAAGAACTAAATTAATATCAGATTCTGCCAATTAAAGGGCTCTAAAACAATTCATATGTAAATATTTTGCATATTTAATGCAAAATCTCATTTTTCTGCTTTAGTGCTGCGACAAGGTTTTATTAATAATAAATTATTATACCTTTTGTTTTACTACAGCATCGGTAAGCTTCCTGTGCACAGATTATTAAGGATGCTTGTTTCAGCTGTGAGATTAGACAATAGGATCAATGAAAAAATAAGTTGTCCCACACTCCATGGAAACTTTCAGAGAATCCACAAATAGTGGCTTTCAAATGATTTTGTTACTTTTTGCAAGTTTAGAAAAGCAGCAGATGAGACAGCATGTCTGATAATTTAGTTTTTCATCTGATAATATTAGAACATGTCAGTAATGTCTGAGGGGCTTTTATAAAAACTGTATAACTAACACTACTGGAGAGGGCATGAAGTACACAGAGGCTTCTGGGGAGCCCAGTTATTGGGGGGGGGGGGGGGGGGGGGCATTTTGCCTTGGCCCCCAAAATGTCTTGAAACGGCCCTGGGTGTGTGACTGAGTTTTGAAGGTGATCTGAATTGTATCACATGTATGTATAAATATTACATGTGTAGAACTTATTGTTTTATACAGGTAAAAACGTGTAGTGGTGATAAATCTACCTACATTTTACTTTTCAACACTTTGTTTTGTTTTCTTGTTTTTATTGAACTATTTTCCTGTCCTGTCTGTCTCTCATCTTCCTGCATCTCCTCTTAATTCTCCAGAAAATCTGTTGCCTGGATTCTTACCTTTTCACCTCACCAGTTACTTTTGAGCAGATCAAAGGGATCTCCTGACTGAAAAGCGCAGAGCGCATTTTCGATGCTGCGTGAGGTGACATCACCACAGCACAGGTGATGAGCTCCGCAGTAGCGAGCTTCAGGCACAAATAAGACAGAAAATAGAGAACATGTGCGGACATGAACGATCATGTGCTAATTATAGTTTTTTGGTTGCGCCACTTTGAGAATGGACCGTGCACTGGAAGCAGCTGCCTGGATCGCTGCGCAACAATGCGGAACCGGTTCGCAGCAGCGCGAGTCTGCCGGCTCTCCCTCACGCTGATCTGCGGCTCTCCCTCGCGCTGATCTGCCGGTACCGGCTCTCCCTCGCGCTGATCTGCCGGTACCGGCTCTCCCTCACGCTGATCTGCGGCTCTCCCTCGCGCTGATCTGACTTGCTCTGGTCTGCGCGCAACGGCGGGCGGGAAGGGGGGGGCGCTTTTGGAAGAGTTGTGCGACACAACGAATCGATGACGCAATTCGTTGCCAACGCTTTTAGTAATCGATTTTCATCGAATTTATCGATTCGTTGTTGTAGCCCTATAGAGGTGATCCCTACCTTAAAATACTAAAGAGGGCTAACACCAGATATGATATTGTATTTATCTGCTTACCAACTTACTGTCTTTGCTTGTTATTTAGAATCTTCTGTCGCTGATTCGTAACTGGCAACAGTCATGAGTCTCACAACAGCAGTGAGAAGATTGCAATAACCAAATTTGACCACAGAAAGCCGTTCTTACGCCATTCTTACATATTGCACCTTTAAAGCTCCTGTTTGCAGGGATGTTTAAAAACACAGATATACGATCACTAAGCATTTAAAAGGAACACCTGTTCTTTAAAACAGTTTTTAAGATTTTGTCTGGTGATTTTAAGACATCTGCTTGCACAGATAAACTGTCTCCCTGCACTGTCATCCTCACAAACTCACATGCAATGATTTAAATAACTGTAACCATCTTATAGGATTCATTTACATGTAAGTGTACAATTTATTGGGTTATCTCAAATTTTCCAGTGAATTTCTGCAATGAAAATAGAGCTAAAATCTGCTTAATGCAACGCATACAAAATACATTAAAGAAACTCATAACAAACACTGTTTAACTTTAATATAAGAGATAAACTGTTTCACACACATTGACAGATGCATACTTGCACACTTCTGTCAAAAGAAAAAGGAGTGGCTGCACCGAGTGATTTATTAAGTTACTTTTAGTCGCACTTAACTCTGCCAAACCCTCGCAGTCTAACTCTCAAGAGGTGTCCATTATTTCAGCACAGCCCTCCCAAAGCTTCATCAGTGTGAATCAGAGCTAAACATAACATTAAATTTCCTTCAATTGCTTTGGTGTCTATAAAAGGCAAAGTGGCTGCAGGATGTTTGTTCATGTAAAAGTGTGGAGGGTTTTTAATGCTAAAGTCAGAGCTCTGATTGGAGAAGCATCACATGATGCATGATGGTCACTACAGTGGACAGGTACTCAAAATTGTTATTTATTTGTTTTTGCTACTAAGCACAGCTGTTGAAGACTTTATTGCATTTGAGCCCCTCCATTTGGACTTCAGTAAGTCAAGCCAACATATTTCATGCTCAGATTGCACGCTGTCCACTGAGGTGGACATGTAATAAATTATTTGTAAATTATAAAATTTTACAAAAAATATTTGTTGAAATTTGTTTCATTCACACCTAAAGATGGATGAAAAAAATTGTTAAAAAAATCATGGTTGAAGATTTCATAATTCATGCATCAAAGGGTTAAAATCTTTACAGAAAATTGTATTTTATGAAATTATTTGTACTTTGGGGTTTTTTGCATCATGTTTGTTTAAGTACATGTGAAATTATGCTCAAGTTAGTTGCTGGAAACAAAATCACTGCTATAACAAATAAGCTGTATGGAGGAGACGCGATGTTTGCAGACTATACCAAAAAGCTAATCGTATTCTCACCTGCAGTACTAGACTTTGGTCAAAGTTGTATGCGCTGGGTCGACCTTCCAAGGTGGAAAAAGCCACATTGCCTCCAGTGAGGGGTGAGATGTCACTGAATTCATCCGTACATAAAGCGGTTCTTTCATCATCTCCAGGACGAATGTAACCCTTAGTCTCCTTCCTGTAAGTCTTCCTGCAGGAGCCGCTGTAATATTGGTAAGGTAACCATGGCCCATCCTCTTCTGTTCGCCTGTAAATGGCAAAGCTCTCTGGTCGACTGGTGTAGAACTGTAGCCGTATGTAGGTGATCTCAAAGGATTTACCTATACAGAAAAACAAACACAATTGAGTGGAGGTATTAAATGGGTTCTAGAACATTTTCTGAGCCTTTATATGGCTCATGAAACATTGTCAGGGCTCAAAAAAGCCCAGGAGCCCTGATAAATGGACAAATAAAACCTCGTAATAAAGTCCTACAATGGAAAGGCTGGTTTGCCTCGCCCACTTGGGCAGGACATGAACATTAAATTAGCTGCATGCTGATTGGTCGGTTTACCCCAAAGGCTCTCTGAGCTGTGGCTCTATCTGACATTCATTCAAAGTCTGGATATCCCCAGAACATCACGGAAAATGAGTGCTCTTCTTTTTCTTCATCTTCTTCATTTTCATCTTGTCCAACAGGACGTTAGCTGTAACTTGAGCTGACATTAGCATTAGCTCAGCCAAGCATTGTTCCAAGGTTAGCGTTGCCACCGCCACCATTTCTAAACTGCCGATACTGAAGTGGGTTGGGACATGCAAATCCAAAAGGGTGTTCAAAGCTTGACATGCTGAACCGGGTTTTCTCAAATCAAACTGTTTCTTTGTGGCAATTACAACATTACCCATTTTTATCAGAAAGCAGGTAAGAGACGGCACAGAATCGTTGGTGCATTTGACGTCTCAAGCTGCACAAAGAGGTCAGTGTGGTTTTGAATTCCAGGATCTTGATGACACATCCTTTGTCCTGTTTGATAGCAGCCTTTCTAATATAGTTAGATGTTGGATTAGCTTTACTATATAACAGAATAAGGCATAGCTACATCTGAAGGATGGTTGATTGGTATGCAGGATAAATGAATGACAGTAACATTGTTCGAGAGTATTGTCTCAGTGCTCAAACCATGGTGATCCCAAAAGAGAAACCAGGTAAGAGAAGCTAAAGGTGTGTGTTTTAGTAGCACAAAAGGGCCAAGAGCTGCAAAAAAAGTGCCTAACTGCATTATCGAATCAGCAGAAGTGGTTGATGCAACATTTGATCTGCAACAGGAAAGTAAAGTCAGCTTAGTCAACAGAGCAGGCACTGATCAAACAAAACATGTCATGAGGGGCCGTGCAATAGATTTAAACACAGTCGATAAAGTAATACATCCAAAGCAAAGTTGTGATGACCGGGCCACGCAGGAAGAATGCACACAAACTCCCCCATCACAGGGGAGATTATAGGCTCCATGAGCAGTCTGCAGTGCACACATTTAAAGACCGTTTTCAGGATTCATAAACGGTGAGTTTTCCAGTCATTAAGTCAAGGTAGTATCAGGGATTAGTCAACTACCAGCATGTAGAATGTCTTTCTTTTGTTTTTAGCACTTCTATCCATTTTATTTGTTTAGCATTTTCAAACGCAACCGGATGGCTGCACCAAGGGCTAACCACGAACCCTAATGGATATTTTGTCTCATTATACAACAAACTTTTAGCCACATGAAAAGACAAACCAAGAGCAGCAAAACTGACACTACACCCTGAAAACCAAGAATTTGCATTAGAAACTGTGAAAAAACAGATTTGCACAAAGCACAGGTTTAAATTCGCACAAAGGTTGATGCAAACAAACAAACAAACAAAAAAAACACGTCAGACTGGTTGAACTCTGACTGTAGTGCACTGTAACGAACACTCACACAGCCAATAGACACATCACACTGATCCGCATCAGGCTGAATGGAGCTCCTTCACCAGCTTCAATTCTCCACACTATGATGCTCTTTAAATCTTATGATCTCATGTTCACGCACACGTCTTTCTGCTTCTCCTTCTTTTTCTTCTCACAAACTGGGATAGTGAGCGCTTTCTTTTTTTAAGGAGCAGGTTTGCAATAGAGAGCACTCCAGATGTCTCGGTGAACTGTGGCTCATGGTTTGGTTCAGTAGCACGCCCGGTGCACTTTCATTGGGAGCAAGTCTCCTAAGATCTTGAAATAAACATTCAAAAAAAGTTTAAATTTAGAGCATCCACATCAAATCCGTAAATATATCCAATATGTTAATAGGAAAGATACGACAAAAAATAAATAAATTAAAAAAAATCTCCTAGTGGGAGGTTTCAGTCCTTCCATGGAAATAAATTTGCTATTTTCCTGACAAAATATAATAATACCCTCAGATATTGTCTCATAACTCAACCATTTTTTTATGTTGTTTGTATATTTATTAGCTTTACAATCGGTAGACTATGGCTCCAAATATGCAACATGGCAAAATGGGATAGTATGGATTTGCTTTGATTAAAATAAATCAATGAAGATGATTGAACCATAATGGTTCACAAAGAAAATGCCCTTCTAGGGGCTTTTGACTTTTTGCAGGAAATGTAAGTAGAAATAAATGAAACATGCAAACAGAGTCAGTACTGTATATTTTCAGAGCACTTTTGATTGTTGAAACAGTTTTTATTTATTTATTTATTTTTTATCAGAAGGCACCATCAACAGGTGGGGAAATGTAAGAATATAGTGAGAATTGTATAGTGAGAAAATCCCAAGAGACTAATGTTTCAGTAATTTTGGAAGGAAGGTCATCCTGAAACATATTCATATCCAGCTGGCTGTGGGGATTGTCGGTTGTTCTTTTAAAACAAAGGAAGGAGGGAGGTAACCCGTGTTGCCTGCTGGTGGTGGTCGGAGGGACCGCCAGTGTAGGGCAGCCTTGCCTCAGTCAGTGTGCCCCAGGGCAGCTGTGGCTACATTGTTGCTCATCCCCACCAGCGTGTGAATGTGTGAAAGACTGATTGTGTTGTGAAGCGCCTTGGGGGGTTGTAGAACCCTAGGAAGGCGCTGTACAAATGCAGGCCATTTACCAGCAGTGAGTGTGGGGTTGTCGTGTCTGCTGTGAGCTAATATTGCAGCGTCAATTGTTGTAATTTGACGACGGCTGGCAAAAAGTTCCAGAGTTGTTTAAAGTGGTTCCAGTAACAAATTTTTACCACAGGATGTCGTTTTTACTTCATTTCTACATAATGCACCTTTAAGACCCTCTGCCCTTGGCTGGAAGCAATACCTCTCATTCATGAATGTTCACTTTTTCGAAGGAAAAGAGCTAAAACTGTCATGGTCTGCGTCCGTCCCCTCCTACATGGGCCTCCTGGTGTCCTCCATCCCTCTCTAGATTCCCTTTTGTGTCTCATAGCGCCCTCATGTGTCCTTTGTCTTTGTCTCATTTATGTGTTTTCTGTTTGTAGGCATTCGATCATCCCCATCCCCTCCAGTTGTAGCTCCAGCCTCTTTGTCCCCAGCTCTGTGTCTGTTTGGGTGTGTGCGTGTCCATTCCCCAATTCAGTGTGTGTGAGTGTATTTGGGTGTGATTGTGTGTGTGTGAGTCCTTCCCTCAGTCTTTTAGTTCAGTTTTGTGTTTATCTGCCCTCCTTTGGTTCTGCTTCCCCAGTTAGATAATTGTTGTCACCTGTCTTCCCTCCAGCCCTCACTCCACACACCTGCTTACTGTTTCCCTGATTGTTCCTCCCAGTCTATTTAAGCCCTGTCTTGTCTCTGTGTTGTTGTTGGTCCATTGTATTTCTTGGTCAGCGTTGTTTTGTCTCCAGTCTTTAGTCTCAGTCTTTAGTTCTCTGCTCAGAAGGTGAGCTTTTGGATTTTTGTCTTAGTTTAGTTATTTGGTTTTTGGTTCTCCTCCTAAATGAAGGATTTTTACTTTATACCAACTCCTGCCTCTTGTCGTCTGGGTAATCTGCACTTTGGGCCCTAAACATCCCCACAACGTGACAAAAACACATAGTTTTACAATCATCATTCTCATGTTATGTTGACGACTAGACTAGACATGATTTTTAAAACCATAAAGGGATGAGGACCATTTAAGACGGTTTCAGGGTTTTTGGCACATCCTTACTCATTGCTGATGGACTGAAACTGATGATTTATCAGTTATATTGTCATTTTATCAGGTCCACCATTAGCTACAAAATGAGGTAAATAGACTGGGACCATTTTTTATTAAACTTTTTTTTTAATTTTTTTACCTTGTGTAGCTCAGCTTGATTTATCGGGTTAATTTGTTTTCTTGCACCGTTTTGGGGAAATTGCAAAGCAATTATCATTTGCCTTTTTTTTAATAAAGATTTCTTTTTGGGTGAAAATTGCTATTTTCGTACCGGGGGGGAAAAAAGCAGGATCAATGAGTTTCTCAGATTAAACAATGTACTTACCTTGAATTGTTTACATGCTGAGGCTAGTGCACATTACACTCCTGAATTCATATCAGGGGATTTTACCGAATATGACTTCCTAAACACATAAAAAAATGTTGCCAAATGTTGTTGAATTAGGAAAAGGAATTAACTGGGCAGACAAAGTGAAGTCATGTTGAGACCGGGGGGAGGGGAAACATGTTTACAGACTTCTTCAGGACACTCCGGGGTGTTTTCATCTACATCATTACATCCCAAGCCTCAGCTGCTTTCACACGTTCATAGAGGGACGCCATCCGCTGGAGCAGCCATCGTGGCATCTGTTGCTTCACGCTGCCAATCTGGAACTTGGCATCCTTGTGTCTCGCCTCTCCAGAAATCTTTAATGGTATCTTTGGTCTCGGCGTCCTAAGATCATTTAGCTTTCATTTACTCCCTGCATGAGGTGAGCTCAGCCCCGCTGAGGCAGAAAACATTAAAAGGAGCAGAAGATGAAATACCGTGAGCTGGATTTTACCCGTGATGACATGCAGACTAATTGCAAAGGATATTTGGATGTTTCAGTGGTTAATTTTTAATCATTCAGGATTCATGCCTACGATCTGCTGTTTCAGTGGAGACATTAGTTGATGAGCAGAAGAAGGGCGGTGTAGTTACTAGGAGATGCTTGGTATTTAAAACATGGCAGACCAGTGTTTGTGTCTCTGAGTGCTGAAAATTAAGTTTTAAGACCACTAAAGCAGCCTTGTTGAGCCTAAATGTTCTGACATCCCAAATAAAATATGAATTAGCACAGCCATGGTCAACATAATCTATTTTGACGCTGATACTATAAGAATAAGGGCTATAAGTCGTAGAAGAG